CTTTCTTGAGGAAGAAGCATCAGAGGAAGAGAGGTGTTTTGGAGAAGAAGGAAGATGTTTTCTACTACTTCTCCTAATGCCTTTGAGCTTATAGAGCCATGAATGTGGCATTATGTCTGAGAATCTGAACTTGTGATGAGTCCCCATTTTCTGATTCATCTCTTTCATTTCTTGAACTCTTGTAAACGAAAGGTAAAAGAGAAACTTCAGTTTTGGGTCCACTCTCTTCTTTGTCCTCTGTTTTGTCTCTTTTACTTAAATTTCGTTCCTTGAAGCATTCAAAAAGCAAAAGAGTGGCTTCCATGTCAAGACTAAAAATTCCAAACACACAACAAAACATTTCTTTTAAAATTGTAATCATTATCTGTCCCCATGACGTCACCTATGTATCTTCTTCTTTCACTATTCAGAATCTGTAAATGTATTAAAAGTTAACTTAATATTTTTGATATCCACAATTAATCTTTAACACTGGTCTGATCAGGTGTAATCATGATATCCACAATTATGACGTGAACTCCACTCTCTCTATTCCACTGAATAATATTCTTAATTTATCAATAATCCATTTTAGGCCCAATAATGTAGTAAAAGCCCAATAAGAGACATTACCACCACCAAAACCCTCAGAGACACAAGCGTCGAACTCCTAAACCCTTGAATCCCATTTCTTCTTCCAATGATCCAAGCTTCTCTCTGATCTGGTTCTTCGCACAAAATCCGCAAAGGTTTCACCTTTACCTCTTGTTTCATCCAAATTTAATTGCGTATTCCAATTTCGTTTCAAACGGAAACGATGATGTTGTGTGGGGATGGTTCTGGGTTTTCTCCATTTCGTCTCTGGTAGTGTCTCTCTTGCTCATTGTGCTGGGTTTGTCCCATTTTGCAGGTGAATTAAGTTGGTACCTACTGTTGTTGTTCTGATTCAGCAAGATTGCCACAGAATGTCTTTAGATAGTGATTTAGGCCATAAGCTCAAGAAAAAGGTGAAACTTTCGTCTCTCAAGTCTAATTCTTCTTATAAAGGAAGCAGTAGAACCAGTACTCGCCGAAGTGACGATGGCACAAACCCTCGGAAGAGTAGCAAGGCTAAAGTTTCGTATATGAAGAAGAAGAGGGTCTATGCCACTAAGGCTGAGCTCACTGAGCATAACCATGTGAACGAAATTCCACGCACCATGTGGGCTGCGTCAAAGGGAAACCAACGGTCTACTTCTAGTTTTAAGACCACTAATGATGGTGCTGCAACAAGTATGTTTAAAACAAAATTACCGAGAAGAGATAATGAGAAGCATGGTACTGCAAAGCTAAGGTACAGGAAGAGAGATGATTTGGATAAAAATGCAGATGAGAGCCGAAGGAAACGCTGGGATGTGCCGTCTTTTAAGGCTAAAAAACAGGGATTTGCAGATAAGAGAGACTTAGGCGATGGTTCAGATAATCAGGAGGATCAACCAAGGAAGAGAAAGAGGATACGGCTAGATCCATATGATACCTCAAATAAAAGAATAGATGATGATATCGTTCTTGATGGTTAGTTCTTTGTGCTTCTACACTAGAAAGGAGTATGAAACCGTTTCAGCCATTACATTTCATTGCTGCTTTTTAACAGGCTGTTTCGTTTCCTTTGTTCAGAAGGCCATAAAGTAAAGAAAAAGAATCATGAAGAGAAAAGTGTAGGGGTAAATGCACAGTTTCGTGCAATTCAGCCTAGTCAGTCGATCCTTTCCTATGTGGAAGAAAATGTAATATACTTTACCAGATCTTTGTGGTATCTTACGTGATATTCACATTTTCATTACCTGGCTCGCTCCTAACATACATTTGACGGCAGCTGTTGGGGCGTAGGCGCTTGACCGAGCTAAAGAAGGCTGGCTACAACACAGAGCTTCCGGCTCCATTAGATAATATTCCTCAGTCTACCAGCACAGAGAGAGAGCGTATCGAAGAAAGTGTATGTTCTTATTCCTCACAGTCTTTGTATAAGAACTAAATTTAATAGCCTGCCCTGCTATTCTATTAAGCTAACGTTGTAATTGCCTATTTGCAGGTATTTAGGAATAAATTGGATTTCTTTGCTGCTGCAAATGTTTCATCGTCATTTCCTCCTCCTGATGTACCTGAGATTGCATTTGCAGGTACTGCGTTCAAATTGTTGTTCCCACCAGTATCATAGAAATATGAACAAAAAACCTTTTCTGAGTTTTAAGAGTATGCATGTGAAACTACTTTTAGTAACCCAGAACTTTACTGAATAGCGGGCTTATTTGGTGTCTCAAAATTTATCAGGAAGGTCAAATGTTGGCAAATCGTCTCTGCTAAATGCTCTTACCAGACAGTGGGGTGTTGTAAGGACATCTGACAAACCAGGACTGACCCAGGTATTCCTCTGTTTCAGAATCACTCGCTTGTATGGCTTACCTGTCCCTGTAATAACAAAGGGTTTATTCACTGCAGACCATCAATTTCTTCGGTCTTGGTCCGAAGGTTCGCCTTGTTGATTTGCCAGGCTACGGCTTTGCGTTTGCAAAAGATGAAGTTAAGGAGGCCTGGGAAGATCTTGTGAGCATCTGCCTCTGACTAGAATTTATTATGTTGATCTTTGCTTGCTCGATATTGTGTGTTACTAAGCAGGTCAATGATCTCAATCAGTTTCACATCAATCAATGCAGGTAAAGGAATATGTTTCAACACGAAGTAGTCTTAAACGTGTATGCCTTCTTGTTGACACCAAATGGGGTATGAAGCCAAGAGACCTGGAACTTATTAATCTGATGGAGAGGTAAACTCACTGATGTTACTCTTAATCTCTCTGTTTATGTCGAGTAGTCAAGTGTCTTTACAGCCAAAAACTGAATTGCAGATCGAATACAAAGTATCAGATAGTCTTAACCAAGACAGATGTGGTTTTCCCTATGGATGTGGCACGTCGGGCAATGCAAATCGAAGAGGTCTTAGTCATTATGCTCTAAATTAATATAATGAAGGGAAATGAATTTAACAAAAACAATCTATTGTTCATCCTTTACTGATATCAACATTGATTTTTCTTAAAAAATGTAGAAGTTGAAGGCAAACAGATCAATTGTCCAGCCTCTGGTATGTATGAATATGATTTAGCAAGTTTGTGACTGTTTGCTTCTCTATGGCGTAAGAAAGAAGTGGTTAATTGTTAATGATTACAGATGATGGTAAGCTCAAGATCAGGAGCTGGCATAGGAAGCTTAAGAACTGCCCTTGCTAAAATTGCAAAGTTTGCAAAGTTCTAGCTTCTCAAAAACAAGACAACAATCCCCAAAACCAGGTCAGGATTGTCTCTTCTCCTTTTCCATAGTAATAATGATCAATCAAGAACAGATTTTTAAAAGAGAATCACTTGCCTTTGCTCAACAGACGCAAAGAAGAATACTTGTGATGGCAAAAATGAGTGGAAAAGAAGAAGATATTTGTGTTGTGGGAGAGAACAGAGAAGTGAAGAAGTCAAAATGTTGAGATAAGGAA